TTTTTATGCCACTGGCGATTGAACTGTTTCAGCTTACTAGCTGCTCCCCGCCGCGATCTATACTAACTCGGCTTCCCAGTTCGCACCCACCAGACCGAAATGCGAGTTTCAGTCAGTCAGATATTGTTTAATTTTAGTTTTCTAGTCCATCTAGAACCTACTATTTTCCACGTCCTTATTATCCACATATGTCTAGCAGACCTACATGGGTGATTTGAGGTGAATCTTCTTTGGTTGAAATGAATTTGGAGCCACAAGGGAATTTAACAATATTACGGTCTTGCGGGTCTTTTGGATAGCAAAACTCACAAGATTTTTTAAATAAAGTTGTTTGGCTAGCTTAAATCCCAGGTATTTTACCTCGGACACTTTATTTATTGAAATGATTTGCACGATTAGTGGTGAAATAACTTGGTAATAGATAAAGATAATAGCTTTATTCGCGGTAGCCAATCAGGATCGGTTCGGAACTGATAACGAACCGAGTTAGGGCGCAGCTTCAGAACCGATCCTTCGTTCCGCGAGCGTTTTTAGTAGTACCAACAGGATTTAGTTACTTTGTGCCTAACACTAATTTTCCTAAACTGAAATGCAATGGAGTGAAAGTGGACAAGCGGATTTGCGGTGTTTTTTTACCCTGGTTTCTTTGCGAAAAGTGGCAATTTTTGTGGGGCCCAGGGGCTACAATCCCTGCTAGTTACATGACCGTTGGTGATACAATTGGGTACCACCGACGACCGTCGTATACTCCTTTTGTCTGTATCCCGTTTCTTAATTCAAATTTATGGCTTTGTTTCCATTCACCCTGAGGCGAAAAATTGCGATCATACGTAGACAACTCTAGGTTTATTTTTACATTGGCGTTCTAATCAAAATTAGTTAATTAAATGCGATATAAACATCAAAAAACTTAATAGTGAGTTACAAATTATTATGCATTTAAAAATATGWTTTTCTTGGCTTTTCTCTGACAAAAGTMTCAGCTTSAGTTTCGACTTTGGCATGTCGCGGGTGAAATTTGKGAGGAGTTAGACAAACGGATTTGATGTGTTTCTTCATGGTCATGGTTTCTGTGCGAAAAGTGGCAGTTTTTTATTAATTCGAATAAGAAAGAGTTTGTTTATGTTTATAGTTCAATTAATTAACTAATTTTGATCAGAAAGCCATTAAAAGGTAGGGCCACGTAAAAGGTAGGTTGGAATTGCCAACATGCTGGGTTTAAAGCTAAAAGTGACCAAGTTCAAAATTGCCGTATTTGAGTTCCAGTAGAGCTGTCTGAAGCGGATTTGCAGTTCTGCAAGTTTGATTGTGGTGTGCTCGACCCATTTAGCTTTAGAGTCACGGTTTATGGCCAGATATTTTGCTGTGTTTTCGTAAGAGAGTATATTTCCATTTATTGTTAACCTTTTTCGATTCGATTTTTTTACGCCATCTCTTCGTCTAACTTTGTAGGAACAACGTAAATTCTTCATCAGTTTTAGCCGTGGCTGCGTTAGCCGTGTCACCCGCGAATCTTGCCGTTACTACGTGTGTTATTTGCGGTAGGTCACTAGTGCACAGAAGATATAGGATTGGGCCCATTACGCTTCCCTGGGGTACTCCAGCTCGAATATCTTTGAAGTCTGAATACTGATTCGTGATTCACGCGGAACATTCTGTCTGTTATGTAAGATTTTAACAAGTTGATGAATTGCCTACTGGCAATAATTTGTTAAGTTTGTAGAGTAAACCTTCATGCCAGWCTTTATCGAATGCTTGCGATACTTCCAGAAARATCACTGAACACACCTCTTCTCCTTCCACAGCTTTTTCTATTATGTCGATCAGACGATGAACTTGTTCTCTTGTTGAGTGTCTGCCTAAATCCAAACTSACCAGTKTCACCAATCGGTAGTAGACTATTTTCTTGAATAATTGATTTCTATCGTTTGAGGAATATTTTTTCAAATAATTATGACATGACGGGCAGCAAGGAAATCGATTTGTAATGTTTTATTTCTGTAGCTTTTTTTCAGGCTTTAAAATCGTCTGCGTTTTTCCAATAAGCTGAGACATGCATCAGTGTAAATGTTGCGTTGACGTAACATTTTTAGTCCTTTCGTAGGTAACTTCTTTAACACTAGTCCAGGGATGAGATCGTATCCTTTTTTCGGGTTGAGGTTGTATTTCACCTCTCGTTTGAGCTATTTTAAGGTAACTTTTTTGATTGTTTTATGCCAATTATTTTCTATTTGTGGAGGCACTCATTTGACCCCATTGCCGCTTCCTTCGGAGTGAAGATATTTTGTAGATGAGTAGCGAAATTATCAGCTTTTTCCTCATCAGTTTTGGCATATTCGTCGTTTTATTTCCGGATTGGTGGTACATGAGTGATTTTCATTCTCAGTTTTTTCGTAGTTTTCCACAGGGAGTAGTTTGTACTTTTATCCGCTGTTAGATTTTCCAAGAACGAGTTTGCCGAATTTTCTTTTAGCTGCTGGATCACTTTAGATTTTTTTGAGATTTGGAATTTAACTTGGTTTTTATCGCAGGATCTCTGGCTGCTTCCCAATTTCGTCTGTTTCCTTTTATTTTTTTATCAGATTCCTCACTTCCATCGGGTAGTTAAATCCGGGGGTTCTATGGTGACGATGTTTTGGTGTTGGTCCAAACCGTTTGTTGCATTAATTCAGTAAAATTTGCCACTGCTTTATCGAGCTGATCCTTTGTGGTAAGATCAATATCTAGATTAATTTATTGAGCTATTTGGATCTTAAAACATTCCCAGTCTGTAGTCTTATTTATTATTATCTCACAGTTGGTTTTAAAGTTTTTTTTTAAGACAGTTTCACTGAGGTTATGATTACCGATGAATGATCTGAATCAAGGTCATAGTTGTCTTCAATGTTGATAAAATTGGATGCAATTTTTTTGGTTACAAAGAAATCTAAGACATCAGGAGTTTTATGTCTGACTGTTGGCCAATACGTTGGTTTACTAGATGAATGTAAGTTACACCCAATCTTATGGATGGGTATTTTGAGCTCTCTGCCTTTCGTATTATCCAGTCTGCAGCTCCAAGGTGAGTGTTTTGCCTTGAATTCCCCACCCAAGATGAATCTGTCACCCATGTGCTTGAGGATGAACATATAATATTTTTAGAGGTTATGACGAGGGGCAGGTAGACTGTTCCTACTTTAAAGTGTTGTTTTGTTGATAACGATTAATACGGTTAGCTGTATTTGATCCAACTGTATGCTGAGATCCTCATTATATTTTAAACTATTTTTTTCAATTTTTTATGAATATAGCGCTGCCACCGTTGGCTTAATTATCCGAATGAATAGTGTCGTCTACGTTGTATCCATTTATTTTAATGTGATTTTGTTCGGTGAGATGAGTTTGAGACAAAGCATATATCAATTTTGTTTTTCTTCAGATATACCGAAAATTCTTCTGTTCTGTCTCGAATGCCCATGTTAAAACCTGTAAATCTTTAAAAGCCATAATTATTTATTAGATTTACTTTTATTTGACGGAATTCTCCTACCCCCAAGTAATTAAAAAAATAATATATTTGTCTTCAAAAACTGACGAAGTCCCCCAAAGCCACTCAAACAAGTGCACTCATAGTAGTTGTATCAAAAACTACACTTTAATGATCAAGTTTCCAAAAGGATTCTGATTCACTTTTTGGCTCGGTTTTAGCGTGCATTTACCAAAAATTGATATTTTAGACTTGATCGGTTTTAGCTTTAAGCCCACGATATGTTCGCATTTTTTTTTTTTTCAAATGACATCTTTAGCCTTTAACTTTATTTCTCTGTGAATAGACTAATAAAGACATATATGAATTAGGAAAAGGAATGCAATGCTGGTGGCACCCATTGTACCCCAGCCAACAAAAAGTTGTCCGCAAACAAAAGTGTCCAGTCTTTCGTAACAAATCAAAAAAAGATAATGCCGGGAGCTAGTCCCGTTCAGACAGACACGTTCTGAACCAGTTCTTATTGTACCGCGAAYATAGAACTTTGGGTTCAGAACTAGTAGTTTTTTTACCGCGAACACCCAATGTAAGCGCATGCGATCAGTTCCGAACCAGTTCGGAATCGTTACCGCGACTAAAGCTAATACSCTCAACTTTCGTAGTATTTATCTTGAGTTTTTAATTATCGAAATACCACGTCAGAATACTGAAAGCATGGACATGGAACCACGTAGAGCGCGTTAACAARAACTTTGGGGATGTCAGTCTTTCCTGCTCTCTTGCGATAGGTGTCACACATTAATACGTATAAAATTTCTGCTCACTGCTAACAATGTTTATATTTTGTGCAATTAAATCATAATCATGCTCAATGGTTGACAGGCATAACAAGTTCTTAAAAATGTAGAAATTATACTCAATTGCATGTTTAGTGTCTATATTGAATAATTTCACTTGTTTCAGGTATTCCAAGAGCAAATCGAAGTCCCACGATAGTTTTAGATGAATTGATAAACTATGCTGAACGGGAACAAAGCGAAGAAGATGCTTCAACTGCGGCGCAACAACCTTTTGAACAGCCAGATGATGGTCAGAATGGTCTTGGGCAGCTTCAAGCGCTGGGTCCTATGATTTCGAATATTGTTCAAGACCTTGAGTCATCTCTTGACGATGTTAGAAATATCAGGGCTAATAATATATCGGGATCACGACCCGGTATGCTGAGCAGTTTTTCACAGAGGTTGGAAAGTGGCATCATTTCTTGCATTTTTATTCATGATTATTGTCTTATTTAGGATGGATAATATAATGGCCAATTCGGAAAACATGTTAAGGAATATGAGAAGTTTTGACCGTTTACCCAGTGGGCCCACCGAAAGCGCTAGATCTACAACAGAAAATGAACCACGTTGGAATTTCAATGATCCGGGATTTTATGTCCGAGATCTTCGAACTGAAGTAACACATTTTCTATATTCAATATCTCAATATATAATTATCCAATGGGCTCCTTACATGTTTTTAATTGTTATGACTTTTTTATGCCTATTAATTTTTTCTTTGGAACGTATCTCAAAATTAACTTTCTTGTTTTGAAACCTGCGAATGAACGACTCGTGTCTCGTTCATGAAGCAGAAAGATTGTAACCCTGTTTATTTTTTTTGAAACAGGTTAGTTAGCTGATTGCTCAGTCAACAGGTTTTTATTCTTATTTTCTAATTGTTTATATTTTGTGAATTGTTTTGTGGTTATAAAGGATGTCCCGTAAGCACATGATCAAAGGGATACTGCGATATTCTTTGCGTCAAAATAAGACCATCTGACCTAACTTTTATTGACAAAAAATGTTTGGCTCCTCTGCTATTGGATGCTGATGGTCAAAGTTCTTAAAAAAATATATCTTTTTTGAAATATCGGGAGAATGGTACGATGTATTTTGGTAAATCTTGCTGTGAATTTGTTCTTATGTAACTCATATTTTATTGAAACAATCGAGTTCAGCCGTTTTCGCCACTTGTTCAAATCGGCTGAACTCGATTGCTTCATCAAAATCAAATCAAAATATGAGTCTTACATAAAAACAAATTAACAGCGAGTTACACCAAAATACATCGTACCGTTTTCCCGATATTTCAAAAAAGATGTTTTTTTGTAGAACTGACCATTAATGGCAGAGGAGCCAGACATTTCTTTAAATAAAAATTAGGTCATCCAAAGAATATCGCAGTACCCTTTATAGTATAGAAATATTTTTATCGCAAAAAATGTTATAACACTTGAAAATCTAATTAATCAAAAGCCATCATCATCAGCTTATCCTAGTTCACTGCTCATAAGCCTACCGTAAATTAACCTTCAAAGTTCGGTCTGAAGCTTATTTTTAAAATTAAGAACTCAGCTACATGTTGCATTTGTACTTATTTGAATAAATAGGCACAAATGCAAAATGTTGAAAATTTGAATGAACCGCAATGAGCAGCGCTGAAAACTTTTTTCAGGCCTCAAACAATATGGAGACTGAAGGTACCACTAGTCCAGGGAATATGCAGGATATGTTTGGATATATGCACGCAGTAACCACAGACCATACATATCCTCGCAATCCAAATAGAACCGGTGCTATTGACAGAGTGCCGCCCCTTTTTAATTCATTACAATTTACTGTCTCCTACATAAATTCGCAATCCAGGCTTTTAAGGCGCAGGGTAAGTTATTTGATTTTGTGATTATTTTCTTATATCTGCGTTTTACAATGTTAGTAAACTGAACTGGGTTTCTTTTTTATTGGGTTCCCCAAATATACAGAGTCCGTCTTTGGGAGCTTACACTGAAAGTATCTGCCAAACCAAAATTAACTGTGTTCTAAAAATGTCAATACAAAGTAATTATGTGGGGGCTAAATCATTTAAAATACTCGCCACTGCCACTTCCAGTTATACCGGAAGTAAGTACTTACTCGCTTATGTTAAATCGAACGCCCTGTATATTATTACATTTTTAAATTATCTGTCGGATTTTAAGATCATTTTGTTAACTGGGTACGAAATTTCAACCGTTGTGGAATAACATACATTTTATTCCGGTATAATCGGAAGTGGTACCGACTTGCAGATATTTTAGATGATTTAGCCCCGACATCATAACCTTGTATTGAAATCCTCAGAACTTTCGTAGTTTTGGTTTGGCGAATACTTCTAGTGGAAGCTCCCAAAGACGGACTCTGTATCTGTAGGTCACCCTGATAAGTCTTGTCGATATATTTTTATAGCTAAATAATTTTTAAAGGGCTGACCCCAGTGGTTCATGCCAAAATAAAAAGTCATAATAAGTATTTTTTATTCGAAATCTTACAGCTCAGCAATCGATATATCAAAAGCTTTATTACTTCAAGTCAATCATATATGCCAAATATCCGCACCTATTTTGAAAAATTTACAAAATAGGGGTCAACAGTCTGGAGGTGTTCTCAGAGGGTATTTAAKKMGTAMAGCAAAAATACTYWMAAAAMTCACASWAMATGCCAMATGTWTGCAAAAACCTMMAAYATGAATGGCAATAAKGTATWTGACACYWGCAAGTGWCGTTTATTTATACGTMARTTAATAAATTTAACGGTTTTCTAAAACCRMTYATTTATGTTTCTTTTTTTCCTTAGAGAACACTTCAAATTAAGCACTTTCAGCGCAAAAAAATCCTCAATGCKSCATRAATTAAGCCGAAWRYACTTACTTTTGRAATTYASTTGTTMTTTGCWGYTAAATCGTGTTTTAAGTGTYARCAATTCATGAYTCCACATGCAAAACTGTCGCTAAGATGCATYKTTTKATWMATGAGTGCWGAAMATAWAWAAGTTTGAGCATCGTTTCGTACCACTCTCAAAACTCCACTACCCACGTACCACTCCAATTGAATGAAGTTATCTATTACCTGAAATAACCTAAATAATCTCATCCGATCCAAATTCAATAAATCTACATGCAGGTATCCAAGGAGACAATTTCCATRAACTTAATTTAAATTTAGCGTAAAAATGGTGATTTTTTTWMAAATTTTGTGTGTTTTTGGCYTAATTTACGGATTTTGGCTTAATTTAAAGTGTTCTTTAATATAAAACWAGAAAGAACTAAAGATTYGGAGGGACTCAAACGACACAATCACCTGCGTTAWAGCGTAATTTTTGTTAAATGAACATGGTTTTTATTAGGTGGAGAGCATTGAAAGAATCGACCGWGCCATGGTAGAAGTAGGTCAACTACAACTTATGAGAAACTTGGTAGCAGAAATGGTAAGACATATTCGGTCTTCAGCGGTAGAAAGTCGAAGCGCAGGTGTATCTAGTGTTCGGCAAATGATGGCAGGTACAAGAATTAGTGATACAAGTCCAACTGAATCTCCAAATGAAGATGGGGGAAATATGGGCAACCAGACCAGACCACAACCCGAAGTAGAAAATCCTCAACCTGGTAATCAGACTTTCGCGTATAATAATCTGTTTTTATCTTTGACTTGTTATGGTTTATAGGTCCAAGCTCAAGTACTGATCAACCAGGCCCTACTGCAGGCACTAGTACAGGAACTTCGCGTCGCAGTATGAATAGAAAAACTTATCCACCTTCCAGATATGTGAGGTGTGTTTTGAGTTTTAGTTTCCAGCATGTGAATTTTATAATTCGCATAATGCTTTGTTCAAACTTTCAGAAGAACATTGCTCATGAAAACGCCCTATCTTCCACCATTGTACTGTCTCGCAATATCGTAATCTTTGTTTCAGATTACCCAGAAGTAGTCCTAGACGGTCATTAGTTAATTGGTTTGCCAGATATGCCCCATCTCGGGGAGAACGCGGTAATAGACAAAGTAGAAGTGGGTCAGCTCGTCCGCCTCCAGTACCTACTTCTAACATAGGATCACATAATGTATTCAACTACACAACTATCAGTCCTTCCACGTTAACCCTAATGACAAGACGGTAAGATTTTGCCCAACTTTAGTTTATAAAATATGTTTTCCACTTGTTATGACACCTGTTATTTTTCAATTGAAGCAGAAATCGAAAATTGAAGACCCTGTTGCAAGAAGGGGATAAGTAACATTTACTGATTTTTATGATAATGTGGTGGGAATGATAATTTTTTTCCGGCCAAAAAGCGTTTAATTTCTCAACATAATCTCCTTTTAGCTCGAATTTTTTTGCGGTTGTTTTTGCTTCAAGTCAGCATCGAATATGTGCAAAAGATCTGAACAATATGCGCCAATGATCGTTTAACCATTTTCAAGGTAATCGATGTGAACACCGCGTGTATCCCAAAAACCTGTGGCCATCACCTTGTTGGCCGACAGACCGATTTTGGCCTTCTTTGGTACACGTTCACCTGAAGAAACTCACTGTTTTGCAATATTTGTGTAGGAAAGCTCTCAATGTGCTCATGAACTTGGTTCTTCAAATGTTCCGGAATTATGTCGTAAATTGGAAAACCAGGATACATAAACTGACGAGCACATGCTGCAATCTGGAAGAAGAGAAAACCGAGATTACGGAAATCGTCCAAGATTTCAACTAGGCAAACTATACTCCAACAATTCACAACCACAAAACAGACATTATGATAACATCAGCATAACGAACGTCGGATCAGAAGAAATTCCGGAATATCACCACGTGCGAAATAGAAGACGCCCTATTCCAAGTTAAGAATGGACGGACCCCCAATGCGGGCGGAATCACTACAGAGATGAAAACTAGGAGGTGTAACCACAATAGATTCAATAAAAATATTACTAAATAAATGTCTCTCCGAAGCCAAAGTGCCGGAAATTTGGAAAAACTCCGTTGTTGTCCAATTATACGAAAAAGGGGACATTCTCAAAATCGATCTATAACTTTACTATCACATTCTGTTAAACTATTAACCAAAATCTTTACTGATATACTAATAAATACATTTAACCACTACCAACCCCCCGAGCAAGGTGGATTTCGCAAAGGATACAGTACTGTAGGACACATCCAACCCGTGAGAACACTAACAGAAAAATTCAACGAATATAACGAGCCACTCCACCTAGCCTTCGTAGGCAACAACAAAGTCTCCGACACTATCGAGCTGTGGCTATCTTCAATTCAATGAATCAAGCCAGAAGAGGCAGCGGATACCGAAACCTCTTAAAATACATTTGCGACAATGCTATCATCCAGGTCAAAATTGCAAAAGACCTTATTACAGATAAAATACCTATGAAAAGAGGAGTGCGACAAGGTGACACTGCACTTAAACTCTACCCTCGCTATGGAAGATATCTTCAAGGATCTGAACTGGGAAACAAAAGACATCAACATCGACGGCCGGTATCTTAATCGTCTCCAATTCGCGGACGACATTGTCTTAATCAGCAATGACACGGAAGAACTCCAACAGATGTTAGTCGAACTGAAGACAACATCAGCAGAAAAAGCCTTAGAGTGAATGCCACGAATATCAAGATCATGACTGCGCAGGATACCATATTCAGGAAATAAGTAGTCGAATGCGAATGACTTGGGCGGCTACCGAAAAACTAAGCTTTATCCTAAAGAACCTACAAAATACCCACAAACTTAATAATAGTGCATAAGAAATTTTAGACTATTATTGAAGACAAGTAATGAGTTCACAAAACGAAGCAGCGCCTCACAGCCAAGACGGGTCCACTTGAACAGGACTTACGCTGACCGGAAGCAATTCCTGACGCAACAGGAACTTGAATATGAAATTTATCGTTCGTCTAGTTAAGAACCTTTTTTTATCAAGCGGATCAGAGTTTGACCTATCAGATTCCCTTTCAGATTCTGAAGATGAAGGAGGAATACAGCAATTTCCAGAAGATGTTGGAGAGCCCACCGCTGTTGCACAACGCAACCTCACGATCATACGTATGGCTTTGGTTACGAAGATAATTCACCAAATAACTTGAGTACTTCAGACAAATCGTGAATCACTGCATGGAAAGAATTAACAGTTTATGAATTCAGAACATTTCTTGGCCTTCTGTATCAATGGGAACAATTCGGTTATCAATCAAATATTGAACCATATTTACACTCTTCCACTCGCTCTATAAGACTATCTTTAATGTTCATGTTAATCTTTGATGGAACACTGTCACTATAGTTTCCAAAAGTCATACATGCAATATTTTTTACATTGAGAGATAATTTATTTGATACCAACCACTCATCAACAATTTTTAATTGAGCATTCTTTCTTGCTGCAACTTCACTCCAAGATCACCAGTAGCAATCACCGCAGTATCATCTGTATACGATAAAATTGATTCAATGGGAATCTTCAAGATATCATTTATATACACAATGAAAAGCAACGGTCCCAAAACTGAACCTTGTGAAACACCATTTGTTCCACAAGGTCATATAATCACTATATGTTTCATTTATTTTGACTCTTAGTGATCTATTACTAAGATAGCTTGAAAGGAGATCCAGATCCGTTCTGTGCTGATTGGAAAGACGTATTCTTTTGGATCTTTAACTGCTTTTTTTGCTTCTACAATGAATTTTTAGACATCATGTTTTTAAGCAAAATTTTACTAAAATGGCGATAATCTGCCAACGTCGCAAGTAAGAAAAAAACAATTTACTGTGCATATGCAGCGTTTCAAGCTGTATTCCGTGCGCAATGAAAAATGAGTAGTTCTATTTTAAAAAATACACTTCTATTTGATCTTGCCTTGCTTTTCTGGGACACTCTGTATCATATAAGATATTTTAAAAATGTGCGCACTTTGTGCGTCAAAAACTTTTATATGAAACTATTTTTCGAAAGTTCAACTCCAACGGCAATAATGGACTCTCTCGCACTAAAAAACCACCCTGTATGTAAGTAATTGATATTATTTCTTTTTTTTTCAATTTTTCCATTAATAATTCTCCAGAGTTTTCTGGGATTGTTCAAATTATTTTCAATTTGTTTGTTGTCATATATAATCTTAGTATCCAATAATACCTGTATCCAATAATACCTGTACAATGTATTGCTTTTTTAGTTCTTCATTTGTACAATATTTTTGCTATAAATGATATAGAAATTTCTTATTCATAGAATCATAGATGGATCATTCTTATATACAAGTGTAGCAGAGTCAATGCAAGTGTCCTCCTATTTATTAATTTATCTGTTGCTGTGTTAGGATCATGGACCAATACTTTTCTCGCCAGTCTATTGTTCCAGCTATTTTATTTCATTTATTATCATTTATTCTAGTATTTGAAAAGTTTCTTTCAGTTTTCAACTTATTAATTGGATAGTGATCAGTTAAGAAATGTTTTAATTCATATGTGACTGTGTTAATATTTTTAGTTTTAATCTGACATTATCAATACAAAATCCTTTACGTTTGATTGATACGAAAAAAGAAAATTTGACCCAATTTGATTGGTTTTTGTTGATAATATTCAAATAATCTAGTTAAATCGTAGACTAAAACCGTCTAGAGTATAACCTACCTTACATTTCTCTACAAGTTTTAGTTCCATGTAGAAGGGTTGCGAATTCTTTTTCGTAATTGCTTTCAACGGGAGATGTAAAACTTTCCTTAAACTTAATCAATTATCACAATAACTTTCAGCATTGTAAACAGTAGCCATAGCAATCAGTGTTCGGTGTTGCACTGTGGTTGTAACGAAGCTTCAAAAAGTCATAGCGGAATGTTATATCACATGGCCGCTACGAGCCGTCTAATTGGTCGAAGCGGAGATTGCCGACTTTGATTCTAAACCACTGATGGAAATTGGCGTGTTTGAGTTTAAGCCAAAGGTATCGTGCTATTTTATTATAGCGATACTGCCGCTATTTATTCTCCCATTCGGCATTCTCGTACGAAGAGCAAAAAACGAAGAATTTGTTGTATCTTACTAAATTTCGTCAAAAAGTGGATATTACCGCTTTCAGTACTAGGTCCCTCATATCCCCTTCTTGCATCTCACTCTTCAATTATAGACAGTGTGATTGAAAATTGACGGCACACCTTTTGAGTAGTTACTCTGGTTTGCTTGAATGGTACAATAAAAATGTTAAGAAGCATTTTTGTACAAAACAATTTAGGTAAATTCGAGATTAAAAAATGTCTAGAATTTGCGGTCCTCGTTTGTCGTTGTACTTTCTGGATACCCTGTATTAATAAATAAAATGTTGTTTTCTGCAGGCTAGAGCGGTTGTTGACCGAACAGATGAGAGTATTGACCAGGACGCAAGACCCTCCTAGTTCGCCTTCTTGTCAGTCGAATGTAACTGTAGACTTAGGCGAACATATCTTAGCATTAAGACTACACGGCTGCTTTATGCGCATGCACCGAGTACTGGGCAGTAACATGAACCCTAGTCTGCTTCGATGCTTAACATCAGATCGGCGTGGAGCTGCTGTCACTCAGGATGGTGCTGTCAGGTAACCGAAAATTCAATTTTGCATATAATTTATATTAAAATAAATTAAATATTCATTAATAAATAACAATGCGCCATTCCTCTAATCGAAATTGGAACATTTTATAAAAACGTACTTATATTTGTTACCAGATATTCGGTTCGTCACACATTAAGTCTCATTGTGGATGGGATGAGTCGTTACATTGAAGAATTAGGTAATGGTACAATATCGAACAGCATGCGACTTCAGATACATGCTGTTCTGGCTATGTCAGTCCTCTTGGCGGAAGTAGTGCTGCTGCAAGTTGTTGACTCAATTCCGGCCTTTCCTGGCACCAATATGAACGCCATGCAAAGCGCATTGACAGGTACTGCTGACGGCACCTACCTCCGATTGTTCAACAACAGAGTAAGACAATCATTTTTTTATTTCATTTATAAATAATGTGCGCCGTAAGCACATGATGAAATGGGCTTCTCTGCTATTGATGGCCAAAGCTCTTCAAAAAAAATATATGGGTTTTGAAATATCGGAAGGATGGTCTCACGAAAATAAGAACCAAGTTTTTAGCAAAATATGACCCTGACGTAGGAACATTATCATAATCCAGCTTCTTCTCACTCCACTGCTGGACAGAAGCCTCCTGCCTACTTGTGTTCTATCCGCATATCGTCGGCCCATCTCGTCGGTTGTCTGCCCTGACTTCTATTTTTACGGGGTCTCCATTATAATAGTCTTTTGGTCCATCTATCATCGTTGAATCGTGCTACATGTCCTGCAAATCTCCCTTTTAGCTTTGTTATTTTCTCTATGATGTCCTCTATCCCCGTTCTTCTTCGAATTTCCGTGTTCTTTACGTGGTCTGTAAGCTTAATTCCCAATATTGACCTTTCCATTCTCCTCTGGGATATCCTTAACTTTTAGTGAGGGTTAATCTGTCGCATTTGTATGTTGCCACTGGAAGTTCCTTTTAAGGCTCATAGGGATTTCCCTATCAAATACGTTCTTCAATTTGCCGTATGCATCCCAACCTAAACCAATTCTTTTTTATATCTCTGGTATCCGGTTGTCTCTAGTGATTTTTAATTCGTGACCTTTTTCTTCTAGTGCCTATCCGTTAGCGAATGTTGGCAATCATTCTAGCAATGATAATTTTATTTGTTGCTGCTCTGAATACTCCCGTTGTTGATATTTCAATCAGTTCTTCAGCCAGAATATTCGTCTTCTTCCAACGCTTCTCTTGCCCTGCACTTTACCCTGTAAAATGGATTTTAGTAGATTGCATTTGGTCTCGTTTCTCATTATGTGCCCCAGATATTCCAATTTTCTACGTTTCTACTGTGTATATTATTTATTTTTCATTATTTAGTTTTTGAAGTATTCGGGTGTTTGATATTTTGTCCTCCCATGATATTTTGAGGATTCTTCTATATGTCCACAACTCGAATGGCTCCAGTATCATTCTTATTGCCTCCGTTAAGGTTCAAGACTATACTCCGTATAACAAGAGAATACGTAGCATCGGAGCAGTCTGAATTTCAGTTCTAAATTCAAATTTTGTGTTGAATAATTTGGACACTTGATTGAAGGCTGTTCTTGCCTTTTCAATTCTTGTTCTTATTTCTTGGGAATGGTCTCATTGTTCATTTAGTACTGTGCCGAGATATGTGTATGTTGTCGTTCTTTCTACCGCTTTCTCATTGATGGTAAACTTTAGTTCTCCAATTCTTTCCCTACTAATTACCATGACTTTTGTTTTACTGATGTTGACTTCTAGATCATATTTCTTACTTACTGCCACTACCCTGTCCAATAAAAGCTGCAGTCCTTGTGCAGTGTCTGCAAATAGGGCGGTGTCATCGACATATCTCAAATTATTTATTCCTCGGCCATTTAGTAGTAACCCTGCCTCCCTGTATTCTAGAGCTTCTTGGAAAATTGCCTCTGTGTACATGTTGAATATGAGAGGTGACAATATACACCTCTGGCGTACTACTCTTAAGATTTGCACTTCCTCTGTTTTGGCATGGTTAATTCTAACAGAAGCTGCTTGATTCCAGTATAAGTTCTTAATTATGTGTAGATATTTTCCGTCAACTCCCAAATCTTTCAGAACTTCCATCATTTTGTTTTGTTGAACTTTATCAAACGCCTTTTGAAACCAGCATACACCTCACAATTCATATATCTGCAACGCTGGAACAAGCACCTGTGCAGGGAAAAACGCATCTCTTGTTACAAGTCCCTTCATAAAACCAAACTGTGTTGGCGATATATGTTGTTCACAGAGTTTGTACAGTCTCCGATGAATGATTTTTAAAAATAATTTTAATAAGTGACTCATACGGCTTATTGTTCTATAGTCACTGCACTTTTTGGCCTCCCGATTCTTTGGGAGAACTGGGGTATTTTCTACTGTTGTATATTTTATTGAATATAATAGTTAGTTCTCTTTTGAAATCCTTATCAAAAAGTTTGGCAATCTCTGACTGCACCTCATCTGGACCAGCCGCCATTCCATCCTTGAGGGTCGTCATTGCTGCCACAACTTCAGTCTAAAAGGATGTCCGGTCCTGTTATGGCGTTTGTTATTTGTTCGATGTCTACAATTGTTTCGCCTTGTTCATTTTCCATTTTACCTATTGATTTATTCTTGAATTTTCCTGTTCTTTCCTTGATCTTCTTATTCACATACACCAAATGTGTCGTGCTTTGAATGTGCTATTTCAATCTCTTTGAACTTGTCCTTGAGTTGTCCATTGGTTCTCTGATGTCTCTCCTAATCTGGTTATTGATGGATCTATATATGTTCGTGCCAGTATTTATTTTAGGCTTCCTTCTTTCTTCCATCAATTTCAGTATCTCTTCAGTCATCCAGGGTTTCCGCTTGTCTATATTTGCCATTAGTATTTCTTTCTTTATTGTTTTTGTGACTGTGACTATTTTCTCTAATTTCCTCGACCTCTGCTCTGTTTTTACATCCCGAAAGGCGTTACTTATTAGGTTCATGGCCTGAGTTCTTACCTCAGGTTTATTGATCTTTCTTCTATTATAAGTGGTTGTGCTTTGTTTTGCTTTCAGTTTCTTCCATTGTACTCTAAATTCCGCTACCAATAAATTGTGATCCCAGTCTATGTCCGCTCTCGAATAAGTTTTTGCCATCTAACAGTTGTTTCTATATCTTTGATTAACCCTTATGTAGTCGATTCGGTTTCTTATGATAGTACCATCTTTTCCATCTTTTGGTGCTTTCCAGGTATATAAGCGGCGCGGAGGCATCTCGAAAAATGTGTTCATTATAACCAAATCGTTTTATCCTGTAAAAGTACAGAGTTTTTCTCCACACGCATTTCTTACTCCAAGTCCATGGGGTCCAATATGGTTGCCTGATCTTCCTCGTCCCACTTTTGAATTTAATTACAAATTATTTATATCTTCATTTTCATGTTCACTAGTGTGTACCTGCACCTGTATGATGTTGACATTTGTTGGAGTTGCTTTTATTTGGACTAGCATTATTCTTTCATTGACGGCCCCAAAGTTTGTGACATTTCGTGCAGTATGACTTGTACCCTCTATTTATATTTGGCGGGGTATTCTGAGTAGTATATTCTATGTTATTCAAATCAAAATATCACAGTAGTTTGCATCTGGCCATCTCATTCACTCATCACTTATTCCCAAAATGTAATTTTCAGTCGCTCCATTTATTTAATGGAGTTTTGTATTTTACCTGTTTGGGCCATGGTTCTCACATTCTAGGTACCCAGTCTTGTACGTTGTTGACCGATTTCTTGTGTCTTCACATAGTCGGTTACATTTTATGGTTTTCTGTAATTAAAGGTTTTTTAACGGTTTAAATTGCGTGTTGGCGAGTTGGACAGGGTTTGGAGTTAGAGAAGGGTATATATAGCTGGGAGTGATTTAGGTTAGGACATGGTTTCTCCTGGGTTGAGGTACTTAAGGAAATATATGAGCTCTCTTAGACAAGTTTGCTATTCCTGAAGTAGGTTTATTTTCTATAAGAAAGGAAGGAAAGAAGCGAGTGTGTACATACTGAAGAAAATCCAATCAAAGGAGATGTAAATTTGTAATATAGTGTGTATTTGAGATGTAAATTTGTAATATAATCCTGAGTGTGGTTTAATTCAACCCTTGAATATAAATATGGCCTAGCGCTTTCAACTGTTTAGTAATCATAAGGGCCGTCGTTAAATTATAAGCACACCCCAAGAGTGCAGAACAATGCATGTCAACCAGCGGTAGGGCGGTCAGAGAAACACGAAAAACACACGACGGGAAACGGACCAACATGAAACTAGTCACATTAAAGTTCTTAAAATTATATTCACAATTAAAGTCAAACATTAAAACTTCGAATTAAAAATATTTAAAAATTATCAAAAAAATCCAAAAAAATTAAACTTTGAAGCAAAAACCCCGGACTGGTCGAAATGAGTAGTCAGGCGACCAGTCCAATTGGACTTAACTTTCAATTCAAGGGTTGTATTAAACCACACCTAGGATTATATACACACTATAATACAAATTTGCATCACCTTTGATTGGATTTATCTTCTGTCGGGATCGCAAAAGAGTATCTACCCGATATATATCGGACCTACGTAGAAAGAAATCCACAGCAAATTTCAGTAAAATTCATCTGAGCGCTTTTCCGATATTCCAAAAAAAACTTAATTGAAGTTTTGTTAATGTAAAAAGTTGATGAATGTCTAAAATTGTCAGTTGACAAGAGAACATAAATAAGATTTTTGCTCAAAAATTATGAATGCTACAAGATTTTACAAAGAGGACTTTCATAAACTCAAAAAAAGTCAGTTGATTCCCGCTACCAAATAAAAAGTTTTTGTACCAAGACACGCAAGAATCCTTCACTTGTCCCAAGCGGATGAACTCGATTGTTTCATCAAAAGATGAGTCTTACATAAATTCACAGCGAGTTTCAGTAAAATTAATTGTACCAGACGTACGAACTTTGAACATCGGTAGCAGAGCAGCCAGACATTTTTTCTTAATAAAAGGTCAGATCGTCTTCTTTTGATCCAAGGAATACTGCATGTGCTTACGGGTTTCCCTGAACATCTATGTTGTATATGACATAATGATATCCTAATTGTTTTAATCATATAGTATTAATAAAGGTGGACATTTTTTCAGCACGCAGTTCCTGGTGGTTACATCATAGCGCGTAGTTTAAAACTAATGAGACTGGCAATAAGATATGCTAATAGAGCATTAGACGAAACATATAGATTGAGACGAAATGTATTGATACCTAGGCACGATATAGATAGAAGGATACTTTTCGGCACTATTAACACGTAAGTTTATTGATATTTCTGGTATGTTTTTCAAATTGCGGCGATCTCCTAGACATAAGCTTGTGTAAGTGTAAATACTAGGAGTTTTGAAAAGCGCCCGCAACTTAAAGGATATTTTATCGTTACTCTGGATTAAAAAACCAATTCGATTTCTGTCAGGTTTATTTCTGGTTGTTTAAAATCCACAGTAATTTCAAAAATAGGCAAAATAAGCACCATGTACCACCTACTCAATACCCTGCAATCCTTATCATAATAGTGTCTGTTCTATCAATTCAGTTTTCAGTTTTGGTACAGAGGTAGAACGTCATGAGCTTAATTGGTTAGAGTACCCATTTCTAACTTCAGATGAAAACCCGGCCTACTACGACTTTGCGAATAGGGGCAATTCGTAATATTTTGCGATGCGTTAGAGATATCGGAAAAAATTACTAGAAAAAATTGTTTAGAATGTTGAATTTTTACGCAGTCCAAATTTTCGTAACAGTATTCACTATGCCATGGAAGCAAATTTGCCGCCTCTAATAATTCTCCATTTGACATTAATTGTGTCAGTGCGCTGACAAAATGCCTATGAAACAGGAAGGGTGAGCAACAAAAACAGTAGCTGAGAAATTTGGAAAACTGAATTACGGTCGATGGCGTATTGGACGTTTAAGGAGAAGGCGATGCATGATATATCTGTATTTATACAACGAAGTCATCGGATATGCTCTATCGACGTAAAATATTTTCGGCATCGCGAGGTTGTCTCTTATATCGGCAAGTACACACAATTTTTGTATTTTATGTAGTTTTCGGTTTAAAGCGGTTTTCAAAATATTAAATAAAATTTCAAATATTAAAGAAATACTGACCTTTCGGCAAGAGATAAAAATTGCTCCAATTACATTTTTTCAAATAGAACATCCTGCATATTAGTTCAAATACGGAAAGACCATTAAATTCCCTATGAAATGATTTGTCATATTTCTATACCTAAAACATAAAATAGCCATGAAATGTCACAATAGTTGAAGATTTTGCGATTCTTCAAACTACTAGTTAGCTTAGTTACAGAAACAGCTTTTGTGCGTTTTTATACAGGTTACATTTTATTATTAACAAAATGGAGAGAGGCAATTATTCGAACGAAGTTTTAATAAAACTAGTTATTCTTCACGTCGTCGTAAGTCAACGAAATGTATCTTAATTTTAAGCAAATGAATGCAAATAAGTCTGCACGAATATGAAACAATTTAATTATTTTCGGAAAACTGGATTGAAACATGTAAGCGAAAGCATAACTGAGAATTCCAAAAAGATGCCTAATAAATACTGTAAAACTAATTACAATACATTTTCAAAATGACGGTCATTGCTTTCCAAGCACTTTAAAATTCGTACAGTTAGAGATTGGTTTGTGTCCCTCTATAACTCATTAACATCCAGTTCTCCAGTGCAGTCGTTGATTCGACGATGCAAATCCCCTATATTGTTGACCGGAGACTTTTAAACATTTTTAATAATTAAAAACAAAGTAAACATTAAATCTCATTCTCCGATGATAGTCTTCTGGCTTCAAGGCTTGGATTTTTGTAAACTTGTACGGATGCTTGATCAGCTTCCTTTGAATGGCACTATTTGTATAAGCCCAAATCGTCTTCTGCCCCTCGAACAGACTTCGAGATATTCATGGAAGTATGCTAAAAGATTTACAATGTTGTCTTCATCAGAAGTTACAGGTTTTGGTAACTTTGGTTTGGCTTTCAGTTTAATGTCATATATCGTTTCATAAGGAATTTAATGGTCTTCCCGTATTTGAACTAATATATAGGGTGTTCTATTTGATAAAATGTAATTGGAGCAGCCCGATCACTCCGTTGTACAAGTTTGCTCGGTTGTTGTACAGTTAGATCGTGTGGCTGGTTCTCTTTAAACGTCTAATACGCCATCGACCGTGAATCATCCTGTATATAAAGTAATATCAACCCTTAATATTAAGCTGCGATGTGTGATCCAAATATTTGGAAATAATTAAAACTGATATAATGAGGGTACGCATTGAAATGCAGGAATTTACATAATTTATTTGGAATCTGCATTGAAAAACTAAATTTTGAAACATATACATCATCTCAGATAATTAGAGTTATGAGTTTATAATGTTTAATGAGTGAAACAATTTTTCTTGATCCTTGATGGTGGGAAGTACACAGTTTCGCCATTCACTTTTACCCATTACAATGACAATTTACCTTTCTGCCTGACATTTATAGTATATTATATTGCCTCGTGTCCCATATACTATTTTTCTTGATCCTCGGTAGAAACTAGCCGGGAAAAGTATAAGCTTTTGAAAAAAAATAGCTTTGAAAATGTTGTCGAAACAGTCAAGCTGTTAGCGTGCGTGGCGAAAGTAATAACTTTCGCCACGTGTAGTGGCGGAACTTCGACTTTCGTCTCTTGTACCGTAATATACTATAAATCAATATAGGCATTTATCCGTGCAGTAGCAAAAAAAATCTATATGTATTTCGGTCGAGAAGGATATTAAATACCTCGCACATTATATTGTTCGGCGCTACGCGCCCCAGGTTATAAAAGTGCTCGGTGTATAATATTAGGAGTTGGAATTAGTTTTGAAGGTTTTCTAATAAATGGCGTTATAAACGTATGTTGCATCTGGGCACTCCAAAACTATATTATAGTTTGGATTGTAAGTATGTGTCATCTTGCGCAAGTGTAAACAACATACATTCCAAGACCATTCAATATGCCTACTTTCGTGCCGAATAACGGCAATTTGCGGAAAGCTTTATTGTTCTGCTTCCATTTGAAGAAAACTGCTGCTACGAGTCGTTTGCTGCTCGAGGAAGCTTACGAGAGTTATAGTCCATCGATTTCAACATGTGAGTACTGGCTTCAACGCTTCAAAAGTGGATTGATTACGTTAACTCCAAGCGTAAAAATTGTATGGATACCCCGGCCACACATCGTCATCAACGCTAAGAACGAATATCTATGGATCCAAGCTCATGCTCTGTATTTGGTGGGATCAGCTGGACATCATATATCGTCCGTCAAATCCGTCAAAAAGTACTTGGAGGCGTTGAAATGGGGTGTTCTACCGCACCCACCGTATTCCCCAGATGTTGCCCCGTCCGATTACTACTTGTTCCGATCGCATATGGCTTGGCTGACCAGCACTTCACCGCTTACGAGGAAACGAAAAAATGGATCGCATCAAAAGACGAACTATTCTTCCGAGCTGGTATCTGAAAATTGACGGAAGGATGGGAAATTAGTGGCTAGCGATGGACAATACTTTGAATAATCCATTTGTAACCATTTTTGCTCACTACAGCCTCAAATTTCGAAAAAAAACTTTTAAAACTAATTCCAACTCCTAATAGCTCACTTATCTACATAGGTATTAATATAATATAACAAACTTTTGCTTTATAGATGTTTGCGAATAATAAAAAGAATTCAAACGCGGAATGTCACACATCCGGTTTCCGAAGCCACTGCAGAAAACAGTTCAACTCCAGCGGGTTCATCCGATAATTCATCAGAGAGGACCGCTGCTGATCTTTACAGTGAAACATTTTACAGTACCATTCATAGCCTAATTGCGAGATACTCCGACAGCAGAGAAGAAGACGTTCCAAGTCAGCCATCAGGACCTAGGGATAGGGCTGAGAGTACTAATGATTTATCGAGCAATAACGAAAACAGGTACAATACTACTACTAAATACATCAGTACGGACTTCTTTAAATCTTATCTTTTTTGCAGCGATGATGATGCTGATGATCCGGAAGAACCAGATTGGTTTTATCAACGACACAGCAGTAACCCTAACGGGTCTAACAACAGCAGACATCTATATCGAACGAACAATGTCAACTTGGCACCTCAACCATCCATTATACTACCTCGTGCGTCAGTCAGATTTTGGAACGTTCCTTCGGTTCAAGTTAATGACGTACCTGTCTCGGAACCATCCGTTTTTTCGGTTCATAGACTGATGGCCCATAGACGTTTTGCCGAACGCGTGTCGGAGTTAAGGTACAGTTCTGCGCAAAGGTAAAGTACATACTTTTCTAATATATTGCAGCTTTCTGACCAAGGCGATTGCCAAAAAATGGCAGTAAGTTTTTTCTCAATTTTCAAACGACTTATTCTTGCAAAGTATTCAAAAAAAGTGATGCGATACGATTTATTGCGCCATTTGTCAACAAGTTCAGGGGTACCAAAATAAACTCCTGGACAAAATTAACGTTTCAAGATGAAATTATCGAAATTAATCATTATTTCGTTTATTTTTTTTAAGTTTCAAATTATACAACCTACGTGATATTATTTTGATTTAATTTCCTGACTGCCTGTAATTGTTTTATATTTTTTCTTTCCTAGGTTTCAGTCAAAATGTGAAATAAAAATGTTCATATTGTTTATTTCATATTACGTTTCGGCGAGACAACAGCGCCATCATGAAATTTAAAATTCAACACAAACTACAAACACTAATTTACTATTAAAATTTGTTGTACAAAAATTATAATTTACAAAGCATTAAAACGTCCATTAGTTCTTAAGGAAAAACTACGTGATATTGTAATAAAATGTTTTCCATTAATGTTTGACAAATTATAATGGTTGAGTCTGGGAAAAAATCAATTAACACAAAAAAAATAACGTCGTGCAATATAATGTACCCATTAATAAAATGTTTCAAAAAATTAAAAGTGTAATTGAATAGCAAGAATTTGAATTGCTTCTCTTGAATAAAGAACGCATCGCATTTTCCTAACATTCATTTTTGTCAAGACGAATTTTGCTACTGAGTATTAAAAAAACTTGTTAAGTAACTTCTTAGACTTATTTGTTTGGAAAATATTTCTATGATAAGTTTTAGTGTTTGGAATCGTGAGCTGAAGTAGAAGCGATTTTAGAATTACTAAATTTACTTGTAGTTGCAGAGAAAAAAGGCATGGTATCTAACAATTAACACTTTTGATATAAGTGATGAAGAGATTGTCAAGAGTTTAAGACTAAATAAGCAGCTGGGGCTTCACTTAATAAATCAAGTAACCGCATATCTTCGAGCACCAAGCAGAAAGTCTGCTATAAGTATGAAACTAAAAGTAGGCCGCCGGAAGACTGCAAATATAAAATGCTGCATACTTAAATTGATTTTTTATAAAATTTCATAATTTTCAATTTAAATTGCGAGTTTTTACATTTTTAACACTTATTATTTCATTAATTCGTTCACTGTTATCACGGACTTATGTTATGCACACCAATATTGCCTGCTGATAGAGATACATAAAAAAAGATAACAAATATGACTTATTATTTTTTCTTGTAACTCTTGCAAACTACTAGCAAGAGAACCAGAGAACAACTCATGTGGTCATTATAGACGCCTTCCTTTCCTTTTTTCTGCAATTCACACAGTAAATTACACTTAAAGTACACATTTATTTGGAAAAATCCAACGCTATATATTTGTATTTAACTTGGAAGTCAATTAAATGCCCCAAATATTCCGGTATTATTGTAAGTTCAGACAACACGTAATATAAAACCAAATATACTTATGGCTCCTCAGGGAAAACCTTGTATAATATTTTTGAACAACAACGCTTATCACATCGCTTCCTAGGCATTGGAGAATACGATTTTCGAACCGTAGTAGAAAAGCCGAGGAAGTGAACGATCACATTGACTATGGGATCGTTCACGTTCTTTCGAACTGGATAATTGGCCGCCAGTTAGTAAACCTATTTCCTTGCCTTCGCCAGAGACGCTCACGCTTATCTGGTGAATTTAGACTATCTGTCGTTTCATTCGAGAACAAAACCATCAGTTCCAGTCATCGAGGGTTAAATTTCTGTGTGCCTTAGCAAACACTTTTCTCAATTCTCCATGGTATTTCAAATAGGATATTTGCCTTAAATTTACTTCTTAGATAATTATGCTCAGATCTGTCAGCAACTATGACTCATCTACATACACATGCAAACGTTTTCTCGTCGTCATAAATGTGATAATTTATTTCTTTTTCTCAGGGCCAATCCTAGAGTCGGTTTGTTCAGACCTAGATTTTTACATCCGCTATATGCCAGTTTAAATCCGTTTGACGCAGACCTAGATGATCCTCAAAGAGATCAAATATACGATAGTGATATGATAGCAACAGTGACACCCAACCATCGAATTCAGGTTTGGGATATATCCAATGGACAGATACCGGGTATTAGCAACTGTAAGTTTATGTATTTTTTAAGCAAGTTTTATACCTACAACAATTTTATTTAAATCATCTTATGATTGATAAACTTTCGCAGATTTCAATTAGATTGCTCCCAAACATGCGGTTGCAATTTTAACGGCCCAATACAGGGTGATTCAAAATTGGCGTCATTCCTCTGGAGGTGTTGTCTGGCGCTGTTATAGGAGTACAGAAAAAATAGTAAAATAAATTAATTGTTATTAAAAACTGAGAAATTTGCAAAAAACCATATCAGAAATACGGCAGCAATGTTTTTCAAGGTAATCTAGCTAATTAATATTGCGCAAATACCTGTTCCTTCGTAATTATTTAAAACTTCGGTAGCCATGGAATTATACAGACTGACAATAAGATAGACAAGGATAAACGGTACATTCAACAAGATTTGTTGACGAAATGTCAACCTGTTCTCATAACCTCGAATTCTGCGGGGTTTTGCGTTTACATAAATTCTTCATACAACACCAAACATTTGAATGGTTAACTCCAAACAAGCTAGTGCGTGTGTAATCTCTTTATTATCCACTCTTATCAAGCAGCTTTTCGTATTCAGTTAATTAACTC